CGAATGTAAACAAGAACTTTTACGGTTGTTTTCTGTTAAGGAATGGACGTGAAAATTTATACCTATCGTCATGTTTACCGAGGCATACCCGTCTAGAAAAGGATTTTCCTTTTTCTAGAATGCCAAGGAGTTGACCTTTTGGCCAATGACACAATACTACTTAGCCTATGAATAATGAAATAGGTTTTTTTTTAGAAAAGCCTTACCTAAAAACAGTAATACCCGTACAATCGAAGTTTTATCTGCATGATTTTTCTTTTCGAACGACGTTTGTTGAAAATAACCATTTTGCGGACAGTATTGAACGATGAATAGAAAAGGGAACGATGTAATGTACAAATTTCTTTGCAACAATGACTAGTACTCATTTCCCAGTTATATTTATTTGCAAATAGCCTCTTCTCAGTCTTACCTTTCTTGGATTTCGTAATTCTGCACGTATCATATATAAATGGTTTGATTGTCAAACACTAATTTGTTTTTTGACAAATTCAATTTACATTGTTAATAAGGGATATATTATTATATGAGTCATGCAACGCCAGTCCATACTTCTTGGATGATGACAGCTTTTTAACATGATTACAATTTATTTCCTGATAAAACATGCATGTATAGGAATTGCTATTGCCTCGCGAACGTAGTGGATAGTCCATTAAATTCACTATTTTTAGTGGTCCGCTTGACCAATTAATATATTTCAATTAATTAAGGTTTTAAGTTGAGATAAAAAAGTCAGTGTCACGAGCGGGATTCGAACCCACGACCTTCGGCTTGATACGCCGCTACTCTACCACTTGAGCTATCGTGACTTCGATCCCCTCGGGGACTAACTTCCCAACTCAACCGTCACCGAAGTCACGATAGCTCAAGTGGTAGAGTAGCGGCGTATCAAGCCGAAGGTCGTGGGTTCGAATCCCGCTCGTGACACTGACTTTTTTTATCTCAACTTAAAACCTTAATTAATTGAATTGTAGTGGATAGTCTTAATAACTTCGTCTGGACAAATGAATACAGCTTGTCTATGTTCGTACGCTGAAGTACCAATATTATTGGCTCTAATTGCATTATTTTTTGTTCCCTTATGTGCTCCGTCTAAAATATCGCAACATTGTTTACTTTGTGCCCGTACTCCGAGGTTTGTATTTATTTCTTCTAATATTATTTGTTCCATGAGATACATTTGGGATTACTCATATCATTATTAACACTGTTTGCAACAAACGAAGAATCAAAGTTTTTCTTTTCAATGTTCCTTTATCAATAGGTTATTACGTTTTATTAGCTCCAGGTTACAAATTCTCTCTATTTGTTTACTCTATTAATTTTGTTTGGATCATAATGAGTGCTTTAACTCAGCATGAAGATAAATCATTGACTTACATCGCTATTCGGCAATAATTATTAATCGGTTCCAAGGGCAATTAAAAGGAACAGACCATCAATTAGGTTTCGCAACACCAAGGTTCAAATGGAACAGTACTGTTCCGGAGCCTTTCTTGACGTAAGGCAAGCATTTGATCGATCGATTTTGGCACCCGGGCATGCTGTTCATGCTCAATTGCATCCTTCCATCCATCTACTATCCTGTTACTTCACAGTTACCTCACTGACCAATTTTTCCGAGTCGAAGGCCATTCCCTCTCTGCATATTTTCCAATCCATGCTGGTTTCCCTCAGGGTAGCGTTCTGGCCCCTACACTATACCAGTGTATACAGCTCACATGCCATCTCATCCCGAAACTATCACATTCACATTTTCAGACGATACGGCAACTCTAGCAACTCCGTCCTTGTCATTTCCTCTCGAAACCTCCAACAACACCTCATACTACTAGTCTTGGTGTAAAAAGAAAAAGGTAAAATTTAACACAGACAAATCCGCCCACATTACCTTCACTCTTCGTAAAAAGATCCCACCCCCCGTTTTCTTAAATAATACTCAACTGCGGACAAGGTGCAGTACCTCGGACTGTACATCGACAAACGCCTGACGTGGAATTCTCACACACGATTGAAACGTCAGGAGGTTATGATACGATATAGAGTTCTGGCACTATTTCTTGACAAACGTTCTAATTTACCTCTCAAAAATAAAAGGCTGCTTTTCAAGACAATAGTTCAGCCGATATGGACTTACGTTCTGGAAGTGTGGGGATCTGCCAAATACTCGAACATCCAATTAATACTACGAAAAATACTAGATGCTCCATTTTATGTATCGAACCTAATTACACATACACATTTACATATCCATTTCGACAAGGTGAAATACCTTCCCGTTACCGTAAATTTCATAAAAACCTCCCAACTAAAGTAAATCAGCACATCAGAAACTTCGCATCCCTACGAACCCCTCAATCCCTCCCCGCCGACTGAGATCAATGGCCGCGAGATCTCCTAGGAAGTGATGGTGATGACAGTGAAAGTGATAATGACACACGTTTCAATTAAATAAACAATATCATTGAAACAATGGAGTAATACCGATGGGTTTTCTTCACTTTTGGTTTTAATTTTGTACATATTACTTTGCGCACTGTTACTTGTTACCTACTTTAAGGTAGTTGTAATGTACTACAAATTTAAAAAAAATCTGGGGATATCATTCTCGATGTCATTCGTTAGAAGATAATTTAGACAGTCAAACGTTCGGCCAAGTAAGGCCCTTGGTGTTCATTGTGGTTGTTGTTGCCGTTCCGCGCCGTGGCCTCACCACAGAGAACCCATAGAGAAAGACTACATTTGCAAGGGATTCACTATTCAACTATTCACTGATGAGACGAAGTCCAGATGGCCGTAAAAGAGTCTGGATATAGTCAGTGGTCAGGGCTGTGTGGAACAGTAACAGAAGTGGAAACATTTGAAGGAGGTTTTATTATGTTCAAGTGCGGTATATCTTGGGAGGCACTGAGTTGGTCAAATTTGAGAAGATGATTCTACAAGATCGTCGTCTAGTGTCTTTTATGCTTTTTGTTGGTTGTGAATCATTGCTTATGTATGATAAACTAAGTCACATAAGGAAACGTGTTTAAGTTCCCGAGTATCTAAAGCCTTGAGGCAGCATAACCGGTAAGCTAATCGAAGACGTTTGGGACAAACACCAAGGTTCGGTCGTGGAAACATCCCACCCTTGAAATGCTGGATTTGTTATGAACATTTAAAAAAAAGCCATTAAAGTCAGAGAGGGCAATACTTGCTAATACCATTTTAAATTCGAAAAAAATTAATTGTCGCGTGGATTAAGATTGTGTTTAGAAAAATAAATAGTGCTATAGTACCAACGCCGAGGTTTCGACGATATATTTCGTCTTTTTCAAAGCCTACAGAGAAAAATCGTAATTAAACTTAGTCATCACAGATTTTTTACAACTTACAGGTACAGACAAAATTTAGAAACGTTTTCACATATTAAATAAAAAACCTCCATTTTCACTACTATTTTAACTATATATGTCTCTTAATTCTAATAAGAAATAAATACTAAAATACATTTAACAAGTGCATATATATAATATAATATATATTATATTATATGTGTAACATCACATGAATCATGTCTAGAACATAATTAAGGTTTATCCTTTGTGGGAAGTGTTACAACTGCCACAAGGATTCACTTATTTTTCTCTTAAATACTAATGTTCCATTACAGCCTTTTTTATTTAAAAAGTACATATATAAATAACTTTTATTTTTATCATTTATTTCTACATTATTCGTTTATTTGAATATAGGGGGCTGATGTGTATTGTTCAAATTTCAGAAGGGGCTTGAGTATGTACCTGTAATTGTCAAGAATTTGTGATATGTCTATATCAATGTAAACTTAATTGAGATTGTTCTCTGTAGACCCTGAAGAAGACGAAATATATCGTCGAAAGCTCGGCGTTGGTATAATAGCACTATTTGTTTTTCTGACCACAACCCTAATCCACGAGACTATTATTGAGTAAAGCCTAGTAAATCGCAGAGAAGATACAATTAAATTAATTGTGTTCAAAAAAGAAAATTTGAAGTGATTTAAAAAAAAATGTTATTTTATTCAAACAAAAACTGTATATTTTGTGGAGTCGTTTGGATTTATGTACCAGGTTGAAAAATAAGCCCGTAGCAATGCTTGTAAATCCAATGAACATTTAGGTAACTCATCAACAATATATGATTCATTGATCACACCACCTATTGCTATCTTAATGTATTTTGTAATTCCGTCCTACCAGAACTTCTCAGGATTTTGATCAGTGAACTCCTCGATGTACTATCTGAAGTGCTAATGTGGGAGCGAGCGTTATCCTGGGAGAAAACAATGCCAATGGATTAACAATGCGCGGTCTATTTTGGCTAATTGCTGACTTCAATTGTTCCGAATGTGAGCAGTATACACTACAAATAACGGTTTGGTTTGACGGAAGAAGCTCATAATAAAGCACTCCGAAATGCACATGCAGAGTTGTGAACGATGGGTCGCTGCGTTTTCTCAAGAATTTTCCTACCGGAATATTATGGTTAAGGAACCACTTTTCATCCGGTTACCAATCATTTTAAATGCTGGTCGTTTATCTTGCGTTTTAGGAGTCAATTGTAGATAAAGATGTGGCACAACAATTTTTTTCAACATGTTGGGAATTCATACATCGCACGTATCCAGCTTCATTGATTCTATTAAACATGTAAACATCTCTGCGATGTCTCGTGTCGTTGAGTGCGCGTTATTTGTGTATTGTAAAGCTTGAGTTTGGTCAACTGTACACGAATGACCGGAGGTTTTCGTCTTTCAAACCAAACTTTCCGCTTCGAAACCGAGCAAACCAATTAAAAACTGTGCTTTTTTCTAAACTGTCTTCACCATACACATCACAAATTTTCCTAGCAGTCTGAGCTTTTCCCTTCGCTGTAATAAAAAACATCAACATTAAAAGACGAATACACATTAAGTTTTTCTATATTTCAAATTAGCAACACATCTTGTAAAAATACGAGATCTCGTACTAAACTGACAACCCTTTTTCTGTTACACATAACATGAAAAGGCTAAACTGTAATTATTAACCAAAAAAGCTTTTCCACTATCCAATAAAACCAGATCTCGTAAAATTTCAGGTTGTTTAATTTTTGGACGGGGAATGTATATGAAGTTCAACAATACATCAGTCTATGCGATAGAATATTTCAAGGAATGGGAAAAGGATTAATGAACATTGTTATCTTTGTAGTATTTCTATTATATGTATTATAATTCATTACGATCTCCTCGCACTGAGAGCATAAAGGAGGAATCATTAAAACATTATATATATACAATAAACAAATGAGTTGAGACAACTTTCCATTAAAGAAAAAAAATTGTAATAGTATTTAAAACCTTGGTTTTTTCTGTCTAGAAATCTAAAAACAGAGAATTATTACACTCTTTCGTTCCTTTAATTCTTAAAAACAGCTAAGAATATCTTGTCGAAACTTTCATTCATTACAAAACAAAATTTAGATAGAAAAAAATATTTTCTGAATCATTTACAAAACTTTACAATGCAACAGTAAACAAAGCTTAAGAGGAATATCACCTTTCGTACATAAACGTTATCTTTAAAACAATGAAAAAGTTTCAATTAAAAAATAACACTAAAATCATTTTTTTTCAACGGCTTGTCGTTCGTAGTGGAAAAGGTTTAAAGATTGTTCTTAAGGTAATAAATAATATGCCTCTGACGGACGACAAAGACCAATTGAATATGGCATCAAGTTTTTAAAAAAAGTCATACAATTAAACAAAACAATAAAACCAATTCCAATGCTTGAGTTTTCGAACGGACAACACATAAATGTTCTAAATTGTAATATTCACAATACACTCTTGAACACGTACATCTATTTTCAGAAATATAATTATTATGATTACTTTCCTATTCAGTACATGGTAACCCTATGTTAAACATTAATTTCATTTGCCAAGGAAAAAATGTACAAAAATAAAGGTCTGCGATAACCTAAAACAAGTCATTTTAGTATGAAGTCCTTTGCAACTCTAAAAATATTTTTTTGCTTATAGTTTAATAACACAATGTGAACTGGGACTTGCTTGGCAATATTTGAAAAAAAAAATAACCAACGAGCTTTGGCTTAATATTAGTCAAAGGTACAAATGTTTAAAAAAAATTATACTAACATTAAATTATTGCACTATTTTCCTCTTTTTTTTTTTTAAATAGTAAGTTCAATTTTAATTGTCGTCGACTCTTCTGACCCCTGGGGCCTCATTGAGTTTAACAGTTTGAGCAATGTAATGGCGAACATAATATAAATTAAAGAACATTCTTTCAAACTCTTCGATGTTTTATTTTTAAATATTTTTAACATTTAATTCATACGATTCTTTCAGATTTATATTAGCATCCGTTATGATATAATGAAAAACTATTGTTTAAAGCAGTTCATCTATCAATATTTTAAAATAATCATATTTATTTTTACATATGCTTGTCCACAAAGAAATCAATATTAATTCATTTTACGACAAAAACATTTTCAGGACAAACAAAGCTATTGTACAAGCGATTATAGCTATAATATAGACACATAAATTTGTACAATTCATAATTTATAAATAGTTGTTACATTATAATGACGTTTAGATTTAAGAGAAAATGTACAAATTCTTTAACGTTCATGATAGTTTACAATTTTTTTTTATTATCTTAATTTCTTTCTCTAAAAAATGATAAAACATACAGATAGAAAAGCGAATAATACTCGCATAACATTCTAACATTATGAATATATATATAGGTTTGTATATATATAAAAAGATCATTTTTCTTTATTTTCATTTCACTTGGATCGTCAAAACGTAACAAGAAATAAATAAGAAAAATTTGCTTCAAACTTAAAGGAACATAACAATAAAACTAATCTATAAACGCTACGCATCTACATTTGTCCGGTCTTCATTCCACTCGACAGTTTTATCAGGGTGGAAATAAGAAAGGACGCGTACATAAATATAACAGTCAAAATTTTAGAGAAACACGCTATGTATTTTAATATATATAATATTTATATATAGTTAAAGCAACTCCGTCACTTAGTGTCTCAAAGTGTACAAATTGTCCTAAAAGATGAGATCTCTCTGGGTGCCGCATTCGGGAAATCGTGTGGCTCAACTCTGTTGACTAGAAGTGTTGGTTGTGTTGTTCAAGTGGCAACGCCGTGATGGTGGTTGTGGTGTAAATGGTGACCGAAAACGACCCCAGAGAAAGGCGAAGGTCACTGGTGGTGCTTCAACGGCCCGTTGGGCACGTGGTGTCCGACAACGTGGTGCCCTTGGTGGTGTCCCGTTGCACCGTGGTGATTGGCGTTGGCACTGCTCGGGTTGTTGTTGTTCTGCTGCTGGGCAGCTTGTCTCTGACTGTTCTTCTTGTTCTTCATCCGCCTGTTCTGGAACCATATCTTCACTTGCCGTTCAGTCAGGTTCAGGTTGCGCGCCAGTTCCCACCGTTTCTGTTTAGAGACGTAGGCGTTGAAAAGGAATTCCTTTTCCAGCTCTAGCGTCTGGAATTTTGAATAGGGCTTCCTCTTTTTCCGGACCGTCACCTGGCCCGTCCATTCCAAAGGGTTGCTCCCGACACCCATGCTCGTCATACCCACACCCGTTAGGGACGCTGAAAAAAAAATTAAATATTAGCAATAATGTAAATAATGGTAAAATTTATATTTTCCTATAAAATGGAAATTATATATTAAGTGTTAAGAAAAAATGACCACGAATGAGACTCAAAGAGTATTAAAATATTCAGTAAGTTCCAGTAAGTAATTAAAACAATGAAGAAATAAACCCTTTTGTGAATTCAACATCCCAACAACATGCCAAATGTTAATTAATGTTTAAATTTTTAAAAAGTTTATGTTTGTAGGTATAGTTGATTTAAAAAAATAGATCTAGTTTCAGATTTTATATTCGAACTGTCAAGTTGTATAGACATTCTGGGTCTTCATTGGGCAACCCTGTTCTACTCATTTGATGATTTTTTGGTTTTTTCGTGCAGTCCGTACCAAAAACAGATAAATATCTACTCACTTTGGAGGCCAGTCTTCCGATTCTTGTGAGTTAGGAGGGTTCTGTCTGACGTTAGTTTCAATATTTTAAAATACTTTTTAAGCTGGATAGTGTTGTTGAAGTGTATGTTTACAAAATTCTATGTATTGTGTAAAAATTTGATAATTTTAACAAAATTTAAGAATATTATGAGGACCAGCCGACTGATCAGCGTTATAGACCACTGACGGAGGTTCGATTCTAACCGTCGCCGCTGGACCTTTTTTCAAGAAACCCTTCCCTTGAAAAAAAAAAAAAAACTGCATTGCACCACGTTCCTTGGCTAATATGCAAAATAAATGAGGCTATTTAAAAATAATACTACTAATCACTAATCACCACACAAAAATAATAAGTTTGTAAGGATTTTGCCATGCTATTTTCAGCACATTTGTCAATCTTATTTGATATGTTTTTATGATATATTTGTGAGGAATAGTAAATTAAGCTATTATTTTACGTAATTTACACAAATACTTCACTAACAGATTGTACTAATTTTGAAGAGAATGTTGGATTTAGCAAAATAATTAGGAAAAAGTTTTCCTGAGTAGCGATTAATGTTTGTTTATACATTATTATGTAATATAAAATATTTGATTAGCGCGAACTAAAACTTCAAAAATGAATCAATGGGGTTAGTGAACTTCAGAAAAAAAATTGTGTAATGGGTTAATTGGCAAACGGTTAAATCAAGGATTACAAATTCAGTGCTTAGCCGTAAAAGATTAACAATAAAGATACGGTGTCTCACTCACAAAGGTATCTTCGGTTGTTGCTGAAAGCGAAATCAGCTGAAATAAAACAAAAATCTGCATTAACAGACTCGAATTGTTCGAATTCCTTTTTGAAACAAGAGGTTAATTAGGTGGGTTCTGGGATTTTCGGTCGATTTGACGTCAATCTTGCCTTCTTGACAACAAATATGTATTAAAACAGCAGAAAGAGATAATTAGTTAAGCTTAAACGTAAACGCATTTAATACAACTTCACAGCTGCATTATGTGATATATATTTCATGTTATAGTCCTTCTGTGCCAAAGTGTTAATATAAAACGTAAATAAAATTTAATAATTGTATTTAAAATTTAAACGTTTTAATCTTTATTTAATTTTGCAATAATTAGCTTTAAACTTACGTTATTACACCACATCCAACAATACTGTTTTATTAACACCTCCCCTCATGATAATAAATAGATCAACCATAAAACTTTTAGGAAAATTTTACCATATAGGCCTATAGAATTACATTACATAATTGCTAAAACCAAAGAAAAATTTTTATGATGTAAGGTTTATGTTATAACGCAATGTTCATTTTTAAGCAAAATTTCGGCTTATAAGAGATCTTTGTCAGTCTCTCTCTCTCTCTCTCTCTCTCTCTTTCTCTCACTCTCACTCTCTTTCTCACTCACTAACTTTCTCTCTCCTCTCCTCCCATCGTACTCTCTTTCTCTTTCTCTCTCTTTCTCTCTCTCTCTCTCTCTCTCCCTCTCCAACTATATACAGGGTGGCCCCAATCGATTCAGCCACACTTCCAGATCTTATAGGAAATTGAACGCTGAGTAAAAAAAGGTCCTATGAATCTATGTCCGCAAACCCTTCAGGTCCGAGCTACAGGCCAAAAACCATGAAAAACTACGTTTTTTGACACCTTTTTCGTGAAATTGTTAATAAACCGTTGGCCTGACCGTAAAACAGCTCGAAACAACCTCTGTAGAGGATTAATTTCTGCGTCGAATGAGATTAAAATTCAATTCATTTTTGGCGATTTTTCGAAGTTAGGAGGTGAAGGGGTACACACAATTCATCATTTCTGATATTTTTATACACAATTCACCATTTCTGATATTTTTACACACGATTCACCATTTCTGATATTGACATGGATATGTCTTATGGCTGGGGGTCAGTCCGAAAGTTTAATTTTTACACACAATTCACCATTTCTGATATTTTTATCGAAAATTCACAACTTCAACACCCTATCAAAAAATTCTCCGTTACAAACCTCGTTTGTTGGGGATCGAATTCTCCCTCACATTAGACCAACCACAGTCCGATTCGTGAAACATTCGAATTTTAGAAAATTTACTGCTTTTCACCCAATGTTTCTGTTTTCTGATGGGTACCCCCTACTGAATGAAATAATGTACGAAAAATCTGAACGGCTTACCCATCAGAAATTGCTTTTGATAGGGTGTTCAAGTTGTGAATTTTCGATAAAAATGTCAGAAATGGTGAATTTTGTGTACCCCTTTTCACCTCGTAACTTCGAAAAATCCCCAAAAATGAAATTTTCGGCCAATCAGGCTGGTTTTAACCTCATTCGACGCAGAATTCGATCACCGTCAAACGAGGTTTGTAACGGAAAATGTTTTGATAGGGTGTTCAAGTTGTGAATTTTCGATAAAAACATCAGAAATGGTGAATTGTGTGTACCCCTTCACCCCCTAACTTCGAAAAATCGCCAAAAATGAATTTAATCTCATTCGACGCAGAAATTAATCCTCTACACATGTTGTTCGAGCTATTTTACGGCTAGGCTAACGGTTTACTAACAATTTCAAGAACAAAGTAAAAAAACGTGGTTTTTCATGGTTTTTGCCTGTAGCTCGGAACTGAAGGGTTTGCTGACACAGGTTCCATACGACCTTTTTTACTCAGCGTTCAATTTCCTATAAGATCTGGAAGTGTGGCTGAATCGATTGGGGCCTCCCTGTACATATGCCGCTATTAACCAATCTAACTCTATCTCTCTTTGAGAGCGGTCAATTATTTGCAATATCAAATGGACATACTTGGGTTTATTGAGGACCTTTGAAAAAAAGAACTCAACAGCCATTGGCATATATATATATATATATATATAATTTTTTGTAACTTTGGACAATAAAAATTTTTGACGTTACTTCGTAGTAAGCAAAAAAGCGCAAGTACATATNTCACTCCCCCAGAGTACTCGATATTCCTCGGGGCGGGGGCCATTGGCATAATATTTATTAGTATTCTGAAACGTCAGTTGTTCTTGCGTCAAGGCTTAAGAACTCGTCGTAGCCCTTTCCCAAAAATAATTATTGGAATAATCCAGAAAGTATTTAAAATTTTTAAAAAATCTTGCCACGCTTCGAACTCCTAGATAGAAAAAGATAAATATAAAATCTAAATCTAATTTCTGTAGAAATCTTCCACCACGAGATTGAAACCGTTAACTTTTCGGGCTAGATGTCAATAAAGCTTAACATGAAGCGTTTCTGGGTTATCTCAACATCTACGTTACAGGGATATTCCGGGCTGGAGAAGCGTGCGCAGATGATACGCTCGTTTACATAAATTATGGACCGGCGAGAAGAGAGGCCAGGAGGTGATGCATTCGGGGTCTGAACGTTATGCAAATTGTCCGGATGGCGGGAGGTAATGAGATCTCAAAAAAGATCTTTTAGACGGCGAATCGGTGCATAAATCTGGGCTCACCATTTTCCAACGAGGAAAAAGCCAGAAGAGCAACAGAACCTTTTTCTTTCTTCATTCCGAGTTCGCTGTGTGGAAACCGGTTTGTTGTTTATTATCTTTTGTTTTCAAGCAGTTGTTTTTTTTTTCCCCGACTTAAAACTCCTTTATTGTCGTAATATGGTAAACATATAAAAAATGTTTAAAGGGAAATCGGAAAGATAAGACATTTCGTTCAGCTGTGACAATGGATAAATTTAACATTTTCCTAAATAATTCTTGAATGGTCAATTTTTTTTTTACACCAAGATTGTTCTCGTATAGCTTGGAATTAAAATTTCCGAATAAAATATTCATCAATATTCAATAAGAAAATACGGTTATGATTCTATTTTTGACAAGCTGCGGAAAAGTAAATTTTTTATATTCCATACAGGGTGTCCTTTTTAGATGGCCCGGCTGACTTTCTCTTGTACCAATGAATCTAACAAAAAAACACAAAGTATATGTTGTTTATATATATTTAAACATAATATAAGTAAATAAATATAATTAATAAATTAAATATAATATGTCTTGGTTGAGATGAAAAAGTTAGCGTCACAAGCGGGATTCGAACCCACGACATTCGGCTCAATACGTCGCTGCTCTCACCACTTGCCACGATAGCTCGTGGTTAGAGCAGCGGCGTATCAAGCCGAAGGTCGTGGGTTCGAATCCCTCTCGTGCCATTAACTTTTTTTCATCTCAACTAAAAACCTTAATTAATTGTCTTATAAAAGATTATCTCTAGTTTCAAATTTTTACCATTTTTTGTAGAAAAATTATACAAGATACCTCAGGCCCAACTCAACTTCAAAATTTCAACTACGACACTATTGAGTGCCTGGCACATCATTTTAAAGGATTTTTTACGCTGGCAACAATGATGAAATCGGATTTTAAATTGGTTAAAAAATGACAAAGTTATGGCAAAAAGTTTGAAAAACTTATTTCGTTTATTTCATTGTTAATTTCAATAATTTGGTTCTTCACCCAAAGTAAATATTAATTGCCTTTCTTGTTTACAGAGCAAACGTTAATTCCTGAAAGTAAATCAATTTAAAATAGTACCTGTTCATTAAATTCAGTATTCTATCCTAAATGAACCGAAGAGCACATTTTTTCGATCAACAGTGAGTTGATATTTAGGACTGCTTTATTGATAATGATGGTATTGCGCGTCGTGCAGTCGAATTGTACTCCCAGAAATTTCCTGATCGTCCCATAGTAAACCACAAAAGGTTTATTCGTGTTATTCGCAGAATGAGGAGGTACGTATCAGTTGCTGTTCCATCACCAAGAAACCGGCAGCGTAATTTTGACGAGAAGCTGAATATTTTACTGTATGTTCGCAAAAATCCGAATTCCTCTCTCCGAAATGTTGAAAGGGTTTTAGGTTTTTCAAAAAATAAAATTAGAGATGTACTTACAAAATTAGAGATTGACTTACAATTTTAAGCCGTATCGCTCTCTTTTGTCCAGGGACTTTGTGACTCATTTGATAGGCGTCTAACGTTCCCAGTACAAATGTCCATTTGGGAGGCTGAAGACTACTTTCTTACATACATCCTAAGGACTGATGAATCTAAGTTCATCTCTATTGGCATACTAAACCGTTGGAATTTTCGAACGTGGGCAGAGGCAAATCCGAAAATTTCGTGCTCTTGTCATCAACATCATCACCATCTTGTGGTGGTTCATAGAATCAACATTTCGTGTAGATTTCACGCAAATAAATTAGGAGGTTTTACCAACTCTATTAGACGATGTTCTTCTGTAACCACGACAAAGAATGGTTCTCCAGCTTGATGGATGCCCTGCATACAATTCTTTACAGGATTGAAATCGTCATTTCATGGATAGGTGAATAGGACCACAATGCTAGGATCTGTTGTCCTCCTCGGTCAACCGTTTTAACTCCACTTTTCTATTTTCTGTGGGGCCATTTAGAAAACAGTGTCTAAGCCAATCGTAACCCAAACCTCAGTTTAAGAACTGCAGCAATGGATAGAAAATGCTTGTCATCTCCCCTGACTCTATCGCTCTGAGCACCGGTGAAGCATCTATGTATATGCAAGGTTGGCAATCCGAACTTGAAATGTGATTAATAAATAGCAAACCTGGCTTTTTTTTCAAACTTCAACTCGACTGGGCCTGAGGTACTCGGGTTAATTAAAAAAAAAAGTTCACTAAAAAATATTAAATGATTAATATTATGATTTTTTTATTGCGTCTTTGGTCCAAGAAAAATTTAGCACGTCCATCTAAAAAGGATACCCTCCATAGCCATAATCAGTTC